TCCATTTTTTCCATTTTTCAAGAGAAAGCAAAAGTCTGAATTTTTATATAAAATATATATATATTTTAAATTTAAAGACATTTAGATAAATGTTTGTAGCGGCTTTATTCATAATAGACCCAACTGGAAACCAAAGGTCCCTCAACCAGTGAATGGATAAAGAATGAGTAAACAAACTACGATACACCTGCACAATGAAATATACTCAGGGAAAAAAAAGAAAGAAACAACTGACACACAATAGTCATCCAAACCTCAAATGTGTTATGCTGACTTCTGTTTCTGGCCAAGATGCAGTAACGTGGATCAGATTTACCTTCTCACCTGAAATGACCAAAAACTTGGGAAAAATATATATGATATTTTTCATTCAAGACACTGGAGCATCAAGTCGGTGGAGGACAGTGTTCCCTGCGACAGGAAACAAATGGGGTTAGTCTCAGAGAGAGTTTCTAGGCTGTGGTGCAGGGAGCATGACCCCAGGGGGAGCCTGGAAGACCCCCCGAGTTGAGAAGACAGAGCTGAGAATCCAGGGGGATCAAGGAGGTTAAAATTCTAGAGAAGAGACGGCTGCGTGCAGAGAAACCAGAGGTCTGGGGAGAGCCCCCTCCAGAAGTCAGCTGAGCAGTGGTCAACATAGGCGCCACCTGCGGGAGGCCAGGAAGGAACCTCCCGGAACGATGACAGGTAAGAGCGTTAGGCACTCCCACAGGCCCAGGAACAGGGCCGGCAGCCCCTAGCCAGACTGGAAAACCTCATGGTTCATGGGACACCGGTCTTGCCTCAGTAGTGGGAAAAAATTAGCTTTAGACTGAGCACTGTTTCGGTCCCAGGTAAATGTTAAAAGCATGATTCAAAAGGATCGATTTGTTTCCAGGGAACTGAACTGCATCCAATATAAAGCCGAAGAATATTTTAAAGAATATTAAAATACAAAAGAAGAAGGGGGAGGAGGAGAATAAGAAAAAGGAGAAAGAAGAGAACCAATTAACAAGGCCAAATTCACAACGAACGACTTCCAATCCATAGTACCCATGCACGCAAACCAGCCCTGTTTCACCCTTTCTTTTCTGAGAGGTGTTGCTATGGGTTGAATTGTGTCTCCTAAAAAGATATATTGAACTTTGTAAGTTACATAAACGCCTAATCACTATGTTGTACACTTGAAACTAATAAAATATTATATGTCAATTGTAATGGAAAAATAAAAAAAGACGAACAAAAAATAAATAAAAAGATATGTTGAATTGTAATTGTAATCCAAAGTCGGACATTAATTGCTGAGAATCTTGAGTAAGTCCTCAGTTAAGAATTGCAAATATTTCTCTGTGTGCTTATGTCCATATTCCCCATTCATAGTTCTCAGAGGGGTCTATCAACCCCCAAAATTGAGAGCCTCTGCAGCAGATGATCTACAACATTCATTCCTTCGACAAAAATTTATCGAGGGTCTACTCTGTGCCAAGCTCTGGGGATCCAGTGACAACCAAGACAGAGACAAGATCCCTGAGATCTCACAGAGATTACTTCCCTGGGGAGAGAAATATACCATCAACGTAGAGACAAACATTTTCATATAACGGTAACTCACATGCAGGAAATAAAACAGGGATACATAAGTGACTGGGAGGTGTGAACCTCCAGGTGTTCAGGAAAAGTCCTTTCTTAAGGTGTTGAATTGTCTCCCCCAGAAAGATATGTTGACGTTCTAATACCCACTACCTCATTATGTGACCTTACGTGTACATAGGATCTTTGCAGATGTAATTAGTTGAGAGGAGGTCATATGGGAGTTTATTGGACTTTAATCCAATTAAGATTGGTCGGCTCATAATGGGAGAGGACACACAGACACACACAGGGAAGAAGGCCATGTGACAACAGAGGCAGAGATTGCAGTGATGTAGCTACAAGCCAAGGAATGCCAAGGATGGACCGCCACCACCAGAAGCTGGAAGAGGCAAAGAAAGATTCTCCCTGGTCTTGTCGACACATTGCTTTTGCACCTTTGGTGTCCAGAACTGTGAGAGAATACATTTCGGTTAAGTCACCCAGTTTGTGGTATTTAAAGCACCCGGTTTGTAGTTAGGGAAGTCCTAGGAAACAGGTGTCATTTGAACTGAAGCTTGAATGATGAGCAAAAGGCGAGTTTATGAAGATTTAGAGGGAAGAGTGTTCCATGTAAGGGGATGAGGGCGAGATAGGAGACGTGACTGGAAAGCTAGGCGGGCACAGACCTTGAGGGGAGGGAATTTGGATTCAATTAGCTTTGAGGCGGCTGTGTCATCTGAGCGGCAGAAACAGCTGTCGAGATAGTCACCCAGAGTCTTAGAAGGCAGGAATCTAGGATGTTATTTGTTGCAGTAAATAATGACACCGAGAGATGACATGCCCTCTCTGTGCTTCCCCGCCCTGCCCGGTGACCTTGCTGGATAGTCATCGTCAGTTCCAGCATTCCAGGCTGTTGGTTTGGGCTAAGGTCAGGCAAAGCCAAGGGGTGGTGAGCTTTCAACCCACCCTCCCCCAATCGCCTTTCTCCCTCCCGAACTCAGACACCCCACATAAGCGCTGCAAGTCGCCCAGCGGGCAAGTCGGGCAAGTCGACCTGCGGGCAAGTCGCCCAGCCTCAGCGAGAAGACAAGTTCTGGAGGCGCAGAGGCACTCCCAAGGGGACAGCGACAGACCCAGCCAAGCCCTGCAAAGCTGCATTCGCCCCCCGTCCTGCGCGCCGCACGCGGGGGCGGAGCCGGGGAGCGGCGTGCGCATGCGCGGGGCCTGCCTCCCGGTGAGGGGGTGGGACGCGAGCCGGGGCGGGGGCTGTGACGTCAGGTGCGCGCGTGGCTCCGGCTGCGCAGGAACAGCTGGTGGCTCTGAGGCAGCCGGCGAACGGACAGGCGTGGGGTGCTGGTGACCCGCCGCGCCACTCTGCGGGAGCAGCCGCCGCCGCCTCGCACCACTGCACCATGTCCGGCCAGCTGGAGCGTTGCGAGCGCGAGTGGCACGAGATGGAGGGACAATTTCAGGAACTGCAGGTAGGGCCGGGCCACCTGGTTCCGCAACTCTGCTACCTGAGGCGCAGTGCCTCCCCTTCCTGCTCTCCCGGCCCGGGCCGTAGGCACCGGCAGGGCCCAGGGGGGTGTCCCTGGCCAGACTCTGGGGGCCGGTGGCCCGCGTGGGCCAGCACCCTCCCACATCCCAGCGCTTCAGGTCTTCATCCGCTTGGAGCGCCCAGTGGAAGCCCCCGGCCCCCCGCCCTCGCCCTCGGTCTGTGCCCCGCGCACCTCCCTCGCTGCGGAAAGTTGGTCTGTGGCCTCCGAGGGGAAGTTCCAGGCGTGTCCATGTGGGGGAGGCCTGAAGGGACAGGTACACGCTGGGACTCAGAACAGCCCCGCCCCCACCTCCGCAGGGGGCTTCTCTGCCCCCACCCTCACCCACTGGCCTTTGGCAGCTCAACTGCGCCTCTGCTCTGGTAGGGCAGCCCCCCACTGCAGCTCTGTTCTGGAAAATGTGCTTGGGAGACGTTCACCTTGAACCCCTGGGCTTTTCTTAGGAATTAGGGACCCCTGTCGTCCGTCTTTGGGGTTCCGGTGTCGGCGCCCGCTGCTCTGGCGCTGCCGCAGGCCGAGTTTGGGGTGGTGGATGGCATCTGTCAGTTCTGACAGCTGGGCTGCCTCTCTCTGCCACAGGCTGCTCCCAGCCCTCACGCTTCTGGCTGGGAGCCCGACATGGGGTGGGGTGAAAGAGGTCTCTAGAAAGAATGGCGTTGCGGCAGCAGGGCCCAGGCAGGACTTACACCTGATGGGAGTTCTCAGAGGCCTCAGCTACCCACTCTGGTGACGAGAGACGCCCCAAGAAACCCTGAGGTTGGCCAAGGGGACTCCTGGACCATTTTTGGAGAGGAGGCTGCTCCCTCCGCAGCTACCTGATTGTGTTTGTTTTTCCGAAGTTGGGCTCCGCTTGCCTGAAATCTCATCACACACGCTCACTCCTCATTTATCCTCAACATGTAGCTCTTGTCTGCAGCGGGCTGGCCTCTTACAGAGTCCAGAGGAGCCGGGGGAGAGTGCCGAGTTTGTCTGCATGGGTCTTTCTAGACATGAGCAGCAGGTCGGGGTGAATAGAGAGCGGGGTGCTGGAGAGATGGAGCAGGAGGGGGTGTGTGTGCCATGACAGCTATGCACAGGGGGTAGGGGAAGCGGGACCGGAAGGGTATCTCTTTCTTGGCCTGTCCAGCGTTTGTGGATTGTTGCCCCCTCCTTCAGGCCTAGGTCTCACCCAGTTTCCAGGGGACCTTTCTGGCTCTACTGCCATTAAGTAGACTCCGCCACTTCTTAACGCTTTGTCCTCCTGGGCTGGCTCGCAGGTCATGTGCAGCTGTGGAGCCACGGCGGGTGGATGTTAGGGTCTGGGCTGGGAGAGAGGTTTTCTCCTTGACGCTTTTGGCTTTTGTCGTTCATTATTCCTTCCCCTTGCCCTGCCTTAGGATAAGGGGAGGAGGAGGAATCTTAACACTTTGGAGCTATGCAATTAATGCAATTAACAGCAATTAGACAGCAAGTCTTGGCAGGCAGAGGTTGCAGAGGAGACATTTGACTTGCTGTGTTCTTCTTACTTGGTGTCTCTGGAGCCCAGGTGTGTGAGGAACAGAGAGGAATTGGGAATTAATTGTGGATTTCGTCCCCTGGCGCCTAGCAAGGGCGGACCCAGTGGAGACTGTCATGTCTCCTGCCTGATTCTTCAGCGGTAGGGGAACTGCAATGGACTGGGTCCGTCTTTGGGAAGAGGGACCCTGTAGGCTCAGGCTTTGGCAGCACTGGCTGGGTCAGAGGCCTGTGATGGGTGGAAGGCCACAGAGTCTCCTGGGGGTTAAGGTCATCGACTCTGTCTTCAATTCATAGATGAGGACGTTAAAGCTTGGGCATGCTAATTAAACTGGGGTCACATAGCTACTCAGTGGTCACACTGGGGCTAGAACCTAGTTCAGCCGTCTGTCCTTGTGTTGGGAGGCCTCCCTCTGTCATATTGAATGCGAGAGGTCCGAACTCCTGAGATGAAAGTCTGTGGAATATGCAAATAATAAGTAGGGTGTACATTGTCTCTGTGTATGTGTCGGACAGACTTTGAGTTATGAGACATTTGTTGGGGAACGAGGAGGTTACAACAGGTGGGCAGGTGGGCAGATGGGAACTGGAACGGTTAACGGTACGAAGGATTTTTCCCCCCACACAGTCTACCTTAATTTTCCTACGTCTACCTCAAAATCTGGGATTCGTGGGTTTCATGCTCATCTCTCCCCAACTGCGTCATTTGGGGCGCACCGTACAAAGTCTCTTGTGTTCCGTGTCTCCTTCCCTTTTACAAATGAAGAGAGGAAAGAGGAAACCTGATTCTCCAGCCCTAGAGGATTTGAAAGGTCTTTAGAATTCCTCCCCATCCCCCCAAAAGTCACACTCTCTGGGACTTTCCAGAGGAAAGGATCTGATTTCTTTTGACTGTGATTTGCATCTGCCAGGGCCTCCCTGGACTCAGGGGCAAGGTCATGTTGCAAGGGAGACTTTGTATTTGGATGGTTGGGATTTCAGCCTTGCTGGTGAATTGCACATGGGTCTGAGACCGGTATGTTTGGCCCAGTGGCCTGTGGTATGACCACAGAAGGTCACTTACAGACAGGGTGGCAGGTGTTTTAATGAGCAGTCCTGCCTTACATTACTGGAAACCTGACCCAAGAGTGGCCTTTCCCTGAACCTGACCTCATAGAAATGCAGGGGCCTTGTGGGCCATTGTAAAGATTTGGGCTTTTACTACCAATGCAATACACATTCCTCTAGCTGCTGTGTATAGGATAGACAGCAGGTGGGCCAGACCGGCAGCATAAAGATAGCATTATTTCATTAAAATCTTATGAAATGGATCTTGCTATCCCCAATTTATAGAGGGGAAAATCACACAAAGTCTCTGACAAAATCACTTACAATGGCTTGTAAGTGCTGGAGTCAGGATTTGAACTCACACTGGTAAACACCAGAGTCTGTGCTCTTAACCACTACCCAAGGCAAGTCTGTGCCCCTGTACGCATTTATGGGCTTTCATTTCTATTCTATCTTGCATTGCCTTTTGGGCTTCTCTCTCTAGAAGCAGGTTGTACGGAAGGAACCCTGGACAGGGAGTCAGGATTCCTGGGTTCAGGCCTGAGTTCTGCCACTATCTAGTATCTGACCTTTAGGAAGTCACCTCTTTGAGCCCGAGTTTCTTTATCTACACAACAAAGGCTGACAATAATAATAATAATCGTAGTAGTAGTAGTAGTAGTAGTAGTAATGAGCTAACTATTTGATCCATGGATCATCTCATTCAATCTAAATGACAAACCTGCTTTACAAATGAGGAGACTGAGGCTATGTTAAGCAACTTGAAAGTCAAGGAATCAGAATTTGAACCCAGGCCGCCTGTGTAGGTCGGATACTTTTTGGGTTCCTAACACAGTGCCTTCCAAAAGTATCTTGAGAAGGATACTTCCAAAAGTATCCTTAGTTCTGGAAGAAAGCTTTTGAACTTGCAGGGTCTCATTTCATTCGTGTGGTGCTTTAAAACAACACATTAGTCAGGATTCTTAGTTGCAAGTGATAGAAACCCAGTTTGAGTGGCTTTAAGCCAAAAAGGGGGTTTATTGGCCCATGTATTGGGAAGACCAGCGGCAAATGGCTTCAGGTTAGACTTTATCCAGGGTCTCCAGTGACGTCTCTGTCTCCTCTATGTCAGCTTTATTCTCAGGCAGTCTCTAAAGATGACCACTGGCAGCTCCTGGCTGACATCGACCAGCTTAGCAAACCTGGTAAAAACAGTGCATCTTCTTGCCAGTAATTTCAGCAAGAGTCCCAGGGCTGACTCTCATTGGCTGAACTTGAGTCATGTGACCCTCCCTTACTGAACCAGTCATCGGGGTACCGATTGGTGGCTTGGTTACCTGTCAGTCCCTGGAACTCAGGACTGAGATCAGTGCCAGTCAAACTACACGAAATAAGAGTGGGGGAGGGATGATCCCATGAAGGAAAATCAAAATACTGGTAGTAACAAAAAAAAAGGGATGCTGGACAGGTATCTTTTTGGGGGGGAAGTAACAGAAACAGTCTATATTCGTGATTCTCAGACTGTGTCAAGACTCCTTCACGGAGCTGCAGCAAGGTCACAGGGGCACTGTGGGACGATTAAACTTTCAAGGGAAACAATGACATTCGTCACGCACGGCTTACGGCGCTAACTTGGTGTATTTTGCAGGTGCACGTTAGATCACGCTAAATCCTTTTTGATGATGTTCTGCTTTTTGAAGTTGGGTCTTCAGTGGTCTCTGATTAAAGTCAAGTACTGTGTGAAAGTCAATATGGAACGAGAAATGAGGGCATCAGTGTCTGATCTGATCCCAAGGTTTGAGAATTTATGCAGACCCTAACAGGCCCACATAGATCACATTAGTAAAAAATTTTGGTCATTTCAGAATGAAATAAAAATATTTATTATGAAATTTCAGTGCATTATTTTTTTCCTAAAAGGCTACTAAGTTGTTAGGACATAAATACTTTTCCATTATTTGACCTAAGGACTCCGAAAAGTTTACTGAGATGCTCAGGGCAAAACGAAGTTTAGAAACCTTTGTTTTATGTCCTGATGGTGGCGTTGATAGTTATACAATTGTATATATTTGTCAAAATTCATGGAATTGTACACCTGAAAACTGGTGAATCGATATGTAAATTATACCGCAATAAAGCCGATTTTAAGAAACTAGTACATGGCCTGTTACATATACCTCATTTCCTAGCCCTTTCACAGCCGAAGAAACTGAGGTACAAAGAGATGACATACTCAGCTAAGAAGTGGCAGACGCTGGATGTGAAGTCAGTCTGACTACATAGCGTAATCACTTAGCTATTATGTTATCCTGCCTGACACACCTGCCAACACCTCTACTTACTGCCCATATAACAGACATTATGAATCAAACCTTCCATGTGACTTAGACTCCTTCCCTGTATAG